ATATATATATATATATATATATATATATATATATATATATATATATAATTTATATATTTATATATATTTTTAAATTCAACATTTCTAGTAAATTAAATCTTCACCTCACCAAATGTAAACTTTTAATTCATCTCCACCAAATTAATGTATAAAAAGAAAGGAGAAGAATATAATAATAATTTATAAGTAAAATGAATCATGTTACATTTTTATGATGGAATATTATACCACAAAGCCTTGTCTTTAGAATATGAAAAATAGAAAAGAAAAAGAAAGTGATAAAGAATAAATGAAATTATAGTGTAGTTCTATTTTTAATCTTATACATATGGCAATATAATACATAGAGAAGAGATAGATGGGAGGAAAAATAACAAAATGCTAACAAAAGGTATCTCTAGGTGCTAGGACTGCAGGATAGGTTTACATTTGGTCTTCGGCTCTTTGAAGGATTTCTAAGCACATAAGTCTAATATTTTTTTAAAATTCTTAAAGAGAGCAAATGATGTCAATGCCATTTTCATGAAATAAAGACATTTAAATTACAGGCTTTGTGCAGCAACTATGAGAAGAAACCAGCTACAGATGGAAAATCCTGCCCAAAGACAGACAAACCAGTGTGTGGCACTGACTGGAAAACTTACCCAAATCTCTGTGAATTCTGCAAAGCAGCTATGTAAGCACATGAAGGCCCCCTTTAGGTGGGGTTAATGGGATATGAGTCAGGGAAACTATTAAGATGTTAGTATTTAATGTATGTTACAGATAATTCTCATATAAAAAACAATATTATTAACCCCCTACTCGAGGCTTAGTAAATGCCCTTTCCCAGTTCACCCAGTCTGGATTTGTGCCTTTCTATACTCCATTTCATCTCTGAATAACTTCTTTTTTCTTTCAGGGAAGGAAATGGAAAACTTGGTTTCAAACATGAAGGGAAGTGTTGATTCCTTTGACGTTACAATAATGGAAGTGTCTTTAGTTTGCTTTTATTTTAGAAAATGTCTTCTTTGTTTCCCAGTCTCCATTGCAATGTATTTCCTATCAGTTATTATGCACAAAAGGAAGTAGTTTCAATAAAGTGGTCCTGGCAAAATTTCTACAGTGATGTTCTTTTCAAGTAATAATGGAGGAGACTTTGTTTAATTGAATTAGAATAATTGTTATACCACCTCAGGACAAAAGGATACAATATGCAAACAGAGACTAGAATATTACTACACTTATCAAATCAATAATTCTCCAATCAGTGCTCAGTTCTTCAGAAGTTATGCAGATGAACTTCAAGGAAAATAAAGCTGGATCCCAGGAATTAAAAGTGCATAATTGGACACAAATTAGCAGTCTTTAGTACATACTATATTTGGGAAGTATTTTTCCATAAATAACACATTTAGTTTTAGAGCCTTAATTTACATGCTGAGTCCAGAAATAAATAACAGGTGGAATAAAATGTTGGTGACTTCAGTCATCGAGCAGCTAAACAGGTTCTGAGGCAGCTGAAGCCTACACATTACTGGTCTTGACTTTATCTGTTAAATACAGCATACCACAGAAACAGAATTTTCTATATTGGGGAGATGTGAAAAAGCTTGAAAGTGTAGATCCATTACTATGTTGTAGATTCTTAGAAATCTAGAGATGGATGGACACAATCAGTACTTTCAGTCACTTTTCAGAAAGATAAAGTATTCCAACTAAATAAAACATGGTTTGAGCTAGGCACGGTAGCACACACCTGTAATCCCAGTCACTTGGGAGGCTGAAAAAGGAGAACTGTGAGTTCAAAGCCAGCCTCAGCAATGACAAGACACTAAGCAACTCAGTGAGATACTGTCTCTAAATAAAATACAAAGTAGGGCTGGGGGTATGGCTCAGTGACCAAGTGCCCCTGAGTTCAGTCCCCAGTACCCCCCCTAAAAACAAAACAAAACAAAACATGGTTTGATATGCATCTGCTTAAAAAAGCCCAAAGAATTATTTATTCCATTAATTAATTCTACAAAAATTATTCAGTGTCTATAATATACTGGATATCAATCCATATATTAATCAAAGATCCTGCCAAAGAATTTTGTGCTTTACCATGTAGATAAGAATAAATATTTTAAAAATATATTTTCAGTTATTAACAAATCTATAAAGGAAACAAATCAGAGCATATGTTGGAAAGAGTTGGGGTTCAGGTTGAAAAGAGTGTTTATTCAAAACTGGTTCTTTGAAATGTGTCCTGAAGGATGAAAAGAATTCACACACATATAAATATGGTGGAAAGGTATTTCAATCAGAGAATATAACATGTATGAAAGAATAAAAATAAATTTTAAAAATAAGTTGTCTTCATGAAGTGAATGAGAAGAGCCACTTCATCACACCGGGGGCCAGATAAAATCACTCTGAGTTATAGGAAACTATTGAAGTTCATTAAGAAACAACTTCATAGAAGGGCTGACATTTTAGTAAACTTCTGACATAGAGAAATTTGCTGTATATAGTAGGGGGTAGCATTGTAGGCAAAAAAAAAAAGACAATTTGAGAACTATTTTAAAAAATAGTTCTAACTCTCACATTGAGTATGTAGAAAAAAATAAAATCAGAATTCAGGGTACTTCAATGTTACATAACTGATTGTACCACTTGTAAAGCAGAGGACTTTATCAAATGGCAAACAAGTTGGATGTGAATTAGGAAAATTTTCTTAACTCACAAATGGTTAACTTGGTTCTTTTTGATTTTTTCAGTTAAATGTCAACTTTTAAAAATCATAAAATTTCACATTTCAAACTTATCAATGTCACATAAAAATGATAGAAAAATTTAAAATTCACTTATAAATTCTTAAGAAAGGAGAAGATCTGGTTATGTGATACCCAAGTCTCTCAATAAGCAATCATTTGTTAATTTTTGACATCTTTAGATGGACTGTTTCCACAATGCCTCAGGTCAGCCTCACTGTTTAGCTTTAGCTCCTGGTTCCTGAGAGCAAATGAGGCCTATATCCCTTCTTTAAGGCATACCAATTGTAAGCACCTTGTTGAATATTTTTGATTTTTGGAAATTGATATTCTGAAGATGCAGCTCACACCATCAATAGACAACCATTTCTTCATAGAAAATCCATGTTTGCTTCTATATCACTTCCACAAAGTGGCAATACTTCTGGAATCACATACACAAAATGACCTCTTAACACTTTTTTATAACACAAGCACACACACATACACACACACATACACACACAATGCACTATCCAATTTGCATTTTGCTTTGCACAGTCTTTGTAATATCTTCTAGATTGTTCTTCTTTTGATTATCCTCAGCTGCCTCAGAAAGCTTCCTTCCTTCCCTCCCTCCCTCTTTTTCTTTTCTTCCTTCCTTCTTTTTTCTTTCTTTTCTCACCTTCATAAACATTTGAATTATACATATTTGTATTATACATACTAATGATAAATATTTGTGAATACAGTGTGATACTTAATACACATATACAGTGTGTACTGGAAGTCAGAGTTATTAACACATCCATCTCTCATCGTTATTCATTTCTGGAGTATTTCAGGTCCTCTCTTCCATTTATTAATAATAGTTTATTATGAACTATAGCCACTCCACTGTGCTGTGGAGTACTAGAAATACCCTGTTTTGATCATTTCAATGAACATTAGTGATAAAGATCAAAATAAAAAATTAATCGTTAACATTCACTAAGTGTTGACTGCGTCGATATTAATCATTTTGCAAATGGATTCCCAGTTGTTTCAGCATCAGCATCATTTGTTCAAACGACTGTCTTTTTGTATTTCCATTGTATTCCCATGCTCCTTTTGTCAAAATTAGTTGACTATATATGAGTCTGTTTGCAGGTTCTCAATTCTGTTCCATTATCTGTCCATTCTTTAGTCAGTATCACTCTGACTTGATTACTGTAATTCTATAGGAAGTTTTGCAGTTGGGTGATGTTGGTTTTCTGCCAATCCTTTTCTTGACCCTAGGTATTTTAAAAATGTGATGTGATTCATGGACTTTCTCTTTGGAAAATACTGATATACATACACATAAAATTTTGTTTCTCACACTATGGAATGGTTGACCTCTCATTTAAAATCACTGTTAGAAAATGTTTGATTTTTTCTGTATCCTTCCTGAGCAAGACTTTTGTTTGGCTTCTGAGATGCAGGCTGTTGACCCATCTCTTTCTCATTGCCAATTAGAAGTTAATGTTACAATTAGAAGTTAATTGGAAATCTTCTCCATGTGGCTGGACCTAGATCTTTTTCGAGCCTGGACCTGAATATTAGTTCTTCACTGCTAAAGATTTACTGACCTCCAACTGAAGGGCTCATAAGATGATCTGTGCACTAAATGCTTGTTCTCCAAGTCTCTGTTTCTAGTAATGGTATTCCCACTTTTCCAGATAACCAAGGATAGACTTACATTTTAAGGTATCCTTACTAGAGTTAACTGTGAATGTAGTGATTCATGACTGTGCTTGAATGTCTTTATCAAATATTTAGGGAAAGTATTGTTTTAACTATTAAGTGAGATAATCCATATAAAATGCCTCAATAAGTAGTAGTTAGTACATTTATCATGGGGGTCTTAATTCAATTTAGAGAAGTAATCATTGTCTTGACAACAATATTACAAAGATTATCTAGTGTAGAATAATAATTCACCACCAACTTAGTGGCTGAAATCAAGAGTTGCACATTTATTTTCCTCCATTTCTGAAAATTTTGCAGGCGTTGTTCTGTTAGGGTAAGGTCCAAAAGGTACTGTCTGGACATTCAATTGGGATTCAAGATGGTTGAAGTAATGTGCCTTGTATTTCACTCACCTAGTGGGATGGCTACTTTGTGTTCTAGTCCCCCACCCCCCCTTCTCTTTCAATAACCTATCATCCAACACTGACAGGCCTCTTAAGGCTGACCAAATACTGATATGTTGTCATATCTATTGCACCCTATTATCACTGGCTCAAATTTGAAGAAGGGGGAATTGACTCTTCTGTAGGAGAGGAGGTATAGCATATGTGAGGAGTGGTTGGTGCTGATCTTTGAAATAATATTCTAAAAATACACTCTTCTTTCAAAGTATAATTATAAGTCTAATTATGAGAAGCTATTATATGAAAGGTACTTGGAAGCAAGGCTTAAGAAACAAGTCACAAATGACTTGGTCCTGAATGGCTAAAAATAGTATCAACATGGGATCTGTCTATAAATATATTTTCTCTAAAGTGTGACAAAAAAGTTAAAATGAAAGCCAATGTTATTCTTAATGATGATGGTAATGGGGACTTAATTTGAGAGTGTGAAAGAGATTATATTTGTCCCTAGGATTTGTAAACTTGTACAACCAAAGATTTCCATATGATGAAAGTCTTAGTAATAAGTTAATAAATGCTCATTATAACCACCTTACTTCATAACTATTATAATTATGCCCTATTTTATATTTATTGTTCTCTGGTTACCTCATATGGGTTCAACTAAAGTGAAGGGGGAAGGGAATGTGTTCTTAACTTCCTCAAAGGATGACATGAATAGAATGGCAATAATTAACATTAAAGGAACATATGTGTGTCAGATATACATGTCACCTTGATAAATGATGATGATATTTGAATTTCATTTTTCATTGCAAGTTTGTGAACTGAATTAAGAACTTGAAGCCAACA